ATATATATATATATATATATATATATATATATATATATATATATATAAATTAAATCAAAAGAAAAGTGCACACACTGATGCTATTAAACCCTGTCCGGCGGGGGTGGGGGTCTTTATTTAGGCAGCCAGTTCACTGGTTGTAGTGTGTGGATCACAACTTAATGGTTAAGTATTAAATTCTTCAAAGTGTCAAGAAAGTCTTGTGTTCATACATATACAAGTACTAGAAAGCTGTGACTGAGGAAGCAGCTGCAGGCCGAGGAACTGTGCCGTTAAAAAGCATACAAGCTAGAAAAAGACACCAGGATATGTCCCTTTGTAAAGAGGGCCTGAGAGTAGTTCTGTTGTGAAAAAATATGTATGGATTGTCTCAGAGCTCCTGCAAGGGGGTCGCCACCATGTTTTCCTCCTGCTCTAACAGTCGATCTGTATTCAGTCGAGAGAATAAGGGAGATGGTTTCACAAACGTAGCAAAGACCCTCTGTGGTGAAGTCTTGAGTCTATGATGGAGTGATTGAGTCAAGGCATCCAGCTGGAATGTATAGATAGAAGAATGTCTCGGGAGGCAGTCCCATGACACAATCATGGCACAAACAACTGGCTCAACCCGTTCTCATGCTCAGTCTTGCAGAGAAACGCACACAGGTGGGAAAGGGACTGCAAAGAGTTTTAATGTTGAACCTCCAAGCACTACATTAGTGAATTTCAACATTAAGGCCTTAAACTCCAAAAATATCATACACATCCAGTCCCTAAAAACATTAGAGAGCAAAGTTATGCTAAGAGTAAGAGATTTAACACAAAGCCAGATGAATACCGCTGCACGGCCTTAGTTTGGCACCAAGTCGGCTCTCAGCAGTGCAGTCTGACCTTAAACCTCAGCTATTTGTCTTATCCAATCACAGATCAGGAATAAAATGCAGGTTTAGTCAACAAATATCCAAGAATTGCAAATAAACTATTATCATTTTGAAAAAGAACTCCATTCTATTTTTTCCTTGTCTAACCTGGATGCAGAGCAGCAGAATACATGGAACCAACAAGCATCTGCCAGTAAACCTAAAGCTCTACTCCCTAAGAACCTGCAGCTGCAGCCTACTTTATAGAAAGGTCATCAAAAAGAGAGATATACCCAAAAAAGTTGTTAAATTTGAGGGCTCGTGCCTTCCAGCTACTGAAAAACTTTAAAATTATCCTCTAGAAATTTTGCCTATTGCCAATCCAAATAATTTCAATTTCCAGAGTTTTATATTTTGACCTGTGCAAACAAATGCTGACTTTATATTTCAGTGGAAGGAAAATCTAAGACAAAAAATGTACAAAAGCAACAGTGATAATCACAGCCTAAGAGACCCATGAAGCAAAGCCCATTCAAGAGTACGTCACCATGGCACGAGCTACAACTGTCGTATTCCTGAACCAAAAGATGATACCATCCGCTCCTATTGCAACAGAAGGGACAGCAATGTTTCTCAGAGGTTAGAGGTCATCTTTGTTGATGACCCTGGACCTCAGAGATCAAGTAAATTTTGCATTTCTTGAGAAACTGAAGGTCTCAGAATCAAGAGGAAGAATGAGAGCCGTGATGGACTGATGCTGTACTCTTAGAAAAGGAAACATATTATGTGGATCTACTGCATATTGATGTACTTCTTAGTGGGTTGCATCATAAACCCTTTTGTATCATTCTTGTGCAATATTTTAATGTTCTGACAAACTGACTGATTTTATTGGAAATAAGCTAAAATGATCGAAATAAAAAAAAATAAAAAAAAAAGGAAAACACAGGTCAGTCTTAAATAACTAGATAATGAGTTTAAGTTTAGAATTAAATTACTGAAATGAAATTATTTTGGGATAATTGATCGAGATTGTTTGATGCTTCCTAGTGCTGACTGACTGTTGAGGCCAGAACAACCGTAGGATCATTCAGCTGTAGCATTGAAGGATTCATGTATTCTTCTCTTTTCTCAGGAAAAGTCCAGCAACTCATCAGAAAGCTGATGTTCTCAAGTGAAAAATTTAAGGCCTTCTGCACTCACCCTAAAAATTGTAATCTTATCTGCCAAAGATAGTCGTGCTGAACACATAACAAAACTACCAAATACGCTGCCAAAAGACAAAACAAAAAAGTGGATTTCCAAACTTAAACTTGTCCCAATAACGGTGTTCAGTGAACGCACACCACACACTATTGTATTACTTAATGTACTGCACTTAAAAAATCACGCATTCACATTCAGACAGCAGAATACAATGATGCCAAACTCCGGTAAGGCAAATCCGAGCAGAGCGAACTGTGGTCATAAAGTCTTATTAGACAGCTACAGTGTCTGGCAGCTATCTGGCTTTTTTAACCCTCAGTTTGTAGTGTTTCTGCAGTGGTGTAACAGCTGCTATCCAACGGGTTAAAATCCCTTATTGGCTTACAAAAACAAAAAAATGCTCCCAAAAGCTACCTGTATAACTGATAAATAAATCAGACTGGTATCTTGGCATCAACAGCTGATTAAATTCAAAAGTGAATCTTTCAAACTATGTTTTCTAACTATTGCTGCCGACAAAAACAAAACAAAACAACAAAGCTTATAAGCTGCATGAGTGAAAAAAACGAAATGAAAAACTCGGTTGCTTTCTATAAAACGCACCGCTCCAGGTAGAATGAAACCAGCAGGTGTTTGAGTGAAGTGAACGGCTTGTAAGAAAGTTTGGCCATCTCTATGAAAGACCAGTCACTGTTGTTGTAGCGTCCCTTCCTCCGACGGTCCTTCTCCACTGAGGATTGAGGATAACAGGCACCAGTGGTTTTGGGGAACAGCCAGTCTTCTGGTAGTAAGGTCCATCCGTCCCTACGTTTGCCGCACCCTGTGAGTCCAGTTTGCAGGGAGACCAGTGCTGTCTCTTTCACACAGATAAGAAAATGCAAACAACACTCACACACACACATACACACACTGAGATTCTCTGTGTGTTACAAAATAACACACTTGTCCTTTTCTTTCAGCTCCTTCTTGGCTTTGCGCTCCCCACCTGAGGACTGTTTCCCTGGGCTGGGTGTGGCCCCGCTGTTCGCTGTGGCCCCGGCACCAGCTGCTGCTGCCGCACTGGCTGCAGCTCCTCCTCTGTCCACCTCGCTTCCGTCCACCTGCTCCTGCACAGACACAAAAATGCAACTTTAGACATCCAAACTCGGACTACGAAGCAGAAGGGTTCTAATGCAAGAAGCATTTCTTTTCGACATTAAATAGCTGAAAAATAGACGGAAACACACAGAGCCTTAGAACCCGCTACAGCTCAGACATTATCTCATTGGTGAAAGTCCTTTTAAACACTTCAGCATCAGGAACGCTTGTTTTTTAAGTTAGCAGACTGATAATAAACAAAATGGAATATATGCTCTTTACTCATGGCGAGATGTTGTCCATCATTTCTATAAGCAGTTTAGAAATTTAAAATAAAAAAAGAACATCACCTTGTTCACTAAGAAGGAGCCAAAGGCAACATGGTAAAGTTATTCCTTTATATCTACGCTTTGCTTTAGTTTTTCCTCCGCCTTTGCCATTTTGTCACATTAAGAATGCTGTTTTTAAATCATGATTTTGTTGATTAAAGAAAAAAAAACTATTCAAACAAAGTTGTCACTTAGTGAAAATCATTAAAAACATTAACATTACATTGTATCATGTTAATTAACTGTTCCTGATTCAACAATATAAAAGAGGCTGAACAAAAAGAGTTTCATTAAACAGACCAAAGACTGTTTTCTTACATCGTCTAATCCACTCATTAGTTCCATGACCAAAAATATTCAGTGGACCAACGAGACAAAAAGGGAATTTTTGTAAACAAGGTTTATGTTTTGTTACATTTGGTGTAAAAACTAAAAATAAACCAACAGTGTAACATGGTGGTGTTAGCATAGTGGTCTGGGACTGCTTTGCTGCTTCAGGTCTGAAAGACTTGCTATAAATGATGAAATCATGACTTTTGCCCTCTATCAGAAAATGTCGTGCAACATCTGGTCATCAGGATCTGACTTTCAGCTTAAGAAACTTTTGATAAAGAAGCAGGATAGCGATGAAAAGTACGTTATGATCAATCTTAACTGCTTGAAAAAATGAAGGAGAATAGAAATACCTTCTACCGTCCTACAGAGAGGAATATCAGGAGACAATTGCTTAACGTAAAAGCACAAATATTTTCTTACTCCCCAGTATATTTTTAATGATTACTTAGAACTGTATTTATTATTTTTTCTCGCCTATCTCTTGTTGACAATTCCTCATTTCTAATCAAATAAAATTGATGAAAACATGAAACCAAGTTAAAGAACCCATCAGATCTAATAATAAATCCCAGTGACTCTAAGATCTCTCTACCTCCCTCCCCACCTGTGCTTGTGCCTGTGCAGCTGCCGCTTCCTCCTGCTCCTGCTCCTGATAGTACTGGGACGCCCGTCTGTCCTCCTCCTCCTGAAGCTTTTTGGCCAGCTCCAGGTCACTGATGCCTTCAGGCAGTTGCTCCCACTGCAGGTCTTGGCTTTGCTGTTCCTGCTGCAGGGAGAGTGCCATCAAATAGTCCTATAGAGCAAACAAAAAAACCCCAAAATTAATGTTTTATTATGACTTCAGTTTCTAAATAACAGTGATGTTTATTTAATGGTCCTCCGATGCCCATTCTTTGTTTATTTCTGTCTGTTGGTTTGCTCCTCATTAAGTATTCAGTTTTTTAGTGAATCTTTGAAAAACAGTCCAGACCTGGTCTATCTGATCCTGCTGTCCACGGTACACTGTCTCTGGATCAGATGGAGGCCGCAACCTGAACTCTGAATCACAGAAGTTTCCATCTCCGTCAACGTTGTGCAGACTCTCCCAGACAACCTTCTCCTCTGTCAGGAAACCCTGGTCAGTAACCAGAAGGTAAAGTTGACCCTAGGAAGCAATGTGAACCACAGTGATTAGAAATAATTCATAACACAGTCATGTAGTTTTAACATGACTCTACAGTAACAAAGTTTTGAAGAAGTGTTTGCTAGAACACAAGTCTTTGTGCAGCTGTTATCGTAATATGCACCCTGCTTTGTTTTGCCTTGGAAACAACTGCAGACCCACTTCCCTCCTTTAACAGGAAAGATCTGCTCCATCTGCAGATATGTGTCAAGCTAGCTGGGACATGTGCAACTCTGGAAAAATATTGGTCCTTATCTGGATGCCAGCTGCACACATTGCTTTTAGGGTTTATAGTTATGTAATTAGAAACACTGGATAAGAAGATAAGAAGTGAAGAAAAAGAGAATGCTTTAGAGTGTGCTGCTGTCCATCTCATCACAGGAATATATATTTTTTCATAATCCCTTTAAATAGAACTCAACTCAATGTTTTTGCTGTGTTTTGCACCATATTTTTTTTGGCACTGCACCTCTCCATTTCAATGCCTTTAGCACCATGTCTAAACTGGTTTTCCTCTTGGCCTACACTGTTTACATTCTGATCACTGCTGCACATTATAAATGAAAATGATCATTTCACTGCTAAGTTGCTCATTCACTGTTGAAAAGCGGTATGCATTCAAATTACATTTTGTATACACTCTGTGTATAAAAAATGACAATAAAGTTTGTCTAAGTCTAAGTCTCTACTTTGGTTAATTTGGCCTGATATTAAAATATGTGTCGATCTGAAACATCTGGAAAAGGACTATAGAGGCCTTAGAGGTCCTAATTGTTGCCACTAAAAAAAGAACCTGTTACCAAATGCTATACAGTAGTTGTTTACCTTGTATTTGATCATGGTGCTAAAGTGGTTATTCCTGAAAAAGACACAGAGCTCTCCTTCTTGCACAGTGGAGGTGAGCTCACATAAGCCATGGTAAGTGAGCTGAGTGGCTGTGCTGCTCAGGAACTGCTCCGCCACAATGCCTATGAGAGGACAAGAATAGATGGTTGGTTAATACACAAACATTGCTTTTTATATGGGAAACTTACAGACTTAAATACCAATCAGTTACTTGTCTCTTTTCCTCTGTTTTAATACTGTAAGTCACATATGTCTTAAAGAGGCATAGTTATGTTAAATGACATCTTTTTGTTTATATACCAGTAACTCACTCTGGTTGCATACAAGGTTTTTCAGCAACATTACCGCCTCCTGTTGGCGTATTATTTGTTATTCTTGTGTCCTCCGCTTTGTTTTTAGCATTTTATTGTGTTTAATGATTTCATACCAATGAAAATGTTTCAGCCTATGTCTGTTTATTCATTTCATTTTTTGTAGGAACAGGGATTTTATTTTTCCTGGACGTTTTGATAGGAGGCAGGATTCACCAGAACTTAGAGTTGCTGTAGATCAGCTTATTTAATGATTACTGGCTGGGCTTTGTCCACTCTGAGCTGTTGCTTTATTGCGAGGCATTGCAGGACGGCTGGGCTCGGTCAGGCTCTATTAGGTAGAGGTTTCAATTGCCACCATTTGGCTTTCTGATAGTTCTGCAGTACTGCTGTCTGATGGTGCCATATCCGTTTATATCTGCTTATCTTTCCCGGTGCAGGAATTCTACTTCGGCTCAAAAAGAAAACACTATCAGACTGACGCTTGATGTATATAATCTCTTCTCATATGACCTGACTATGCCTCTTTAAAGTAAAGGACGGACGGTTGAGCAAGCAGATGAATATATGCATGGATGGATACTTTTTTACATACTTACATTTTTTTTTAGCCAAGCCAGAACCTATGTACAGAAATGCATGAGATGGAAAACGCAACATATGCAACAAAATTAAACTGTTTTCTTGTGTGGGGCTCACATTAAGAACAGAAACACTGCCTCACTCATCTTAGAACCCAATTTAAGGTGATTTACATTAGTTGATGGGTACCATTAATAGTATATGAGTCCTTAAGCAAGATTTGCACTACCGATGTAGAAGAACAACAGCAAAGACAAGGTTTTCTGTGTCAGTACATTGTTGACTCAGCTTTAAAATGTTGGCTTTCAGTCTTGCTGGGAGCTATTCAGGCAGCTCGGCGTGTAAATATTTGGTTGAACCTTTATGAAATCTGTGACATGAAGAACTATGTCATTTAAAGAAATTCCTATTCTGTTCTTCTATCCAAAGTAAAAGATGTCTTAATCAAATGCAGAAATATGACTGTCTGCCCTCAGGTCAGTACAGTAAAAGAGACAGGAGGCTAGTAAGTGTTCAGGAAGCTAGATCTCACCTTCCCCTGCCAGCTCGCTGTTTTCTGACTGTTTGCAGGATATTATCTTCTCCACCAGCTGGTTGTAGCTGCAGTTGCCTACGGCTTTGACAATGTCCTGCATCTGCAAGAGAAGATAAAAGCTGTGAGAAAGAACCTACCGAAAAAGAAAGGTTTTAATAACATCCTGTTTGCATGTTTCTCTGTTCATTAGTTTAACAATCGAAAAGAAACAAAAAGACATTTTCTTGACATCCAAGAGTTAAAATTACAGAATGCTATTATTTCATGCGCTTTAGCATATGTCATATCAATGTTCATTAGCTGTTGGTTGGATAATTGGAGACGGATAGCATAAAGCGGAGCCTGTTGGGGAAGAATAATCCAGAACATTGAACTGCAAGTCTCCAAAGACCTAAATATACTTGCTAGAATGGAAACATTTGCTCTCCGTCTTCCAGAACTGCAAGAACAAGATTATGTCGTCATTTTCCTTCCTCCTGATTTTTGGGTTTTTGCATCTTATTCTTGATGTAACATATGGACAGAGCTTTGTAATTGAGATTTGAGGCAGACAACTGTTATATACAAAATGTGAGATAGCAGGGACCTAATGAGGACCTGCTCATCAGTTCTACTCAAGTATGAAAAGTCTGGACCTTTGCTGTCATCATTGCCCCCTCAGGTTAAAAATATAAAATAATCTGCTCTTGTAAAGTATGTAAAGTCCTTAACTTGTAGACTGAAGTAGACCCTGTTTGGAAATAGAGAAAAATCAGAAGGTTTTTAAGATTATGACTCATTGTAAGACATTTTTACTGTCCCCCATAATGATAGTCCATAATTAAATTTCTAATGATTATTTAAGCTCCTCACTCCATCTCTAAGGGAGAGTTCGACCCATCTTCCTGAGGAAACTCACTTTGGCAGCTTGTATCCGGGATCCTGTTCTTTCAATAATGATCCATAACTAATGAGCATTGTTGAGGGTCAGAGCAAAGATGGACCAGTAAAGATAATCTAATTTGCTTTTTGGCTCAGGCCGTTCTTCTACACAACAAAACTGAATATTGCCACCATTGCAGATGTGGCCTTAAACCGTTCTCCCGTTCTATCCTGCTATCATTAGTGCACATGACCACAAGACACTTCAATTCCTCTGCTTGAAAGAGAGAGTGATAACCAAGCAGGAGGAAGCAGTACAACCGTTTCCAGTCAAAACCAAATCCCTCTGACTTAAGAGGAGCTAACTCTCATCCCAACCACTTCAGTGCATGGGGAGGTCATAGTCTGTAGAAACCAACACCAACACATAGTTTGTGGAAATCAAAGATAAGATCCTAAGGTCACCACATCAGGGACCCTATCCCTGCACAATTACACCCATCCGAAAACATCACTAAAGTGGTTTGGTATGACGGGCAGCCCTGGTGGAGCCAACATATCAAGGGGCCCTACTTTGGGCTGAGATGGCCAAGAGCCAAAGCCTCATCATCAAACGCCCACTCACGGGTTCCCCTCCAGGCCCAGCCCCATAAGGGTGTCCCTGTCTCCCTAATCTGGGTAAGGCTTGCCTCTTTTTGTGGTTGGGCCATACTGTCTGCATCACAACAGCAATTCATTTACAGTTCTCTAGATTTCAAGGAAAACCCAGACGTGTCTGAATGGAATATAATGTATGTCAAAGAGAAAACACAAGATCAGCCTTACCTGGGGGTCGACAAGCCAGCCGTGGTAAAGAGGGATGTCGAGAAGGTCAAACACAATGCATTCTGGGGTGTATTCAAAGACTCGCACACCTATGAACTTCACATTTACGTCCAGACCTGTCTGCAGCTTGTGAAGCACAGCCATGGCATCACTCATGTTCTGAAAAATAAAAAAAAAAGGACATGGAATCTCTTAAAGTCCAAAACTGGATATTGATTGATTGAATTTATTAATCTCACATAGAAATTTACTCTGTGCATGGGATATAAACAGTATTTACAGTGCGTCCACATATAACAGCTTTTTTTTAATAGCAGGATTGCGGTATTCCCCCCAATAAAAACAATATAAAATAGAGAAAGTAGGAGAGGAGAACACGGAGCAGACGTAACGGGCTGTTGCATGCACAGCCCAATTTGGATAAACGATGCAATGGATAGGATGGAAGAATAACAAGGCATGTGTATTGGTATTTTTTAAACATTTCATTGTGTTTTCATCTTCCACACTTACTCTGTATATACCACCTGGACAAATTGAACATTCATCCATCCACTTACCTATGCATGACAAGGGGCCAGTCCACCATAGGGCCACACAGACACACAGAGAACAAACAGCCTTCCATCCACACACTCAATCTTAAGGGCAATTTAGAGCAACTCCCTTTACCTTCATAGAACCTTCACAATTAGCAACAAACAGACAGGGAGAACATGCAAACTCTACACAGAGCCTGCAACGGTATTCGACCTGCTACCCTGCATAGGTAACGGGTTAAAAACAAAAACACACTATTCTGACCAAAGAGGTTAAAAGCCAGCATCCATAACAATATAGTAGTAAATTAGGATACAAGGCCCAAGTAATCTAAGCACTATAAATGCTTCAATTTCGTATATGTCCTTAAGAACGTTATATCATTATTGCATGATGACATAACGTTCTTGAAGACATATACTATCCCTCAATTCAAAAGGTCAAATTAAAACACATATGAATAGAAAAAGGGGGATGATATAAGAAAGTTGAAGCAGGTTGAAATAAAAGAAGGTGAAGCAGCAATATGGTTAAATGCACCATACATTTCACAAATTGACAATGCACAACAGCTATTTTACATAAACTGTACTGTTTAAATTGACTTAAAAGAAATCTGAAAATATTTCTTGGGATCAGGTTTGTTAATTAAACAGACGCAAACAAGGAGAGTTTGTTTTTCTTGTGGCAATAACAATCTTGACCATGTCAGAATTTTATAAGTTATATTTTTTTCTCTGAAACAAAAGGATTATGCCATTCAATGTTTCAGTCTTACATTTCATAATTTCGTTCTTTATTTCTTGCTTAAAACTACCAATTTTTGATGGAGATTACATACATTTCTAATAAGTGGCTGAATTCAAATACTTTACATTTAAATTCATCGTATCAGTTTTAGTTCAAAAGCCAAACCTTAATGAACATTATTTAGTAAAATGTATCTGTGGACATAGAATTATCGTCCTTGAGAGCCCAATGAAACCAACATATGGTTTCATGCACAGAGTATAGTTTCCCCAGCTGGTTTAAAAGTCCTGCTGCTGTTCAACTCCAAGGTCAAGGGGTCAAGGCTGCAGCCGAGCCCAGATATGCCACTTCCAGTTATTCCCATTTAATTCCCCTTTAAAAAAGGAACACTGAAGGGGAATAAACTGAACCTTAAGTATAAACGTCTGCCTTCACTTTCAGCTGGAAGAGACAAATAATTCACTAATCAGTATTTTATGAGAATAAAGGATAATTATGATATTTACAAGAATTTGTCAAAGCATATTACAAAACCATCATAAATTAGTACAAAAAGGCTCTAAAAAGTTCAGCTGAAGCTTATTTCACTTAAGCTAAATTAGTTTAAAACTGTTTATTTAATTAATTAAAATTTTAAATTTAATCAATTTAAATGTTATATTTCTCGAACAGAAAATAGCTCCATCCCAGCCTCATTCTCTAGCGTTCCATACTTAGCCTACTTTTCACAGATCCTGGGTGGTCTGAAACTCTTATTTGAAATTTAATCTTTAAATCTTCCATCATGAGATACAACGCTTATATACATTAGTAGTATAAAGCCAGAGTGTATTACGGTACTATTATGCAGTTTTGGTAGGAGATCTATAAGCTACAGCTGCGTAATCTGAGAGTGCGGATTAAGATGCTCATGGTCAGCATTAACGGTGGGATTAGTGTGGCTGTGAAATAGACCACATCTCATCACTTTGGGGTGCAGGGTCCCAGAGATTAGCTGCAAATAACTGGCATTCAGCACGATGCTATGCTGTTGTTCTACGTACTCTGGAGTTTCTTTGTGTTTTTTAGAGCATATAGTTTAAATGTCAAAGCCGCCCTGCTCATATGCCTCTTCCTTGATTTTTATCCCAAAGAATAATTGAAAAATAGAACTTGATGTAGATAGAATGAGATGTTCTGAGGCAGTCTCCACAGTAGCTGCTTTTCCAACCAAGACTTCGCTGCCTAAACCAGTAATTCGTAAACTGCGCATCAGTTCTTAAAACAATTCATTGTTGGAAAAAAAAAAAAAAAACTCACATCATACACTGATCAAGCACAATATTATGACCACGTGCCTCAGTCTCCCCTTTTTCTACAAGATCAGCCATGTCTTGTCAAAGACCTGAACTTGATTAGATTCTTAAGGGTCTTTCGTAATAACTGGCTCCAACTTTTTAACACCAGATCCTTTAAATCATGGAAGTTATGAGGTGGGGCCTCCATAGATCTGACTTGTTTCTCCAGTGCATTCCCCAGATATTTGATCAGACTAAAGCATTGGGAGTTTGGCAGTCAAGCAAACATGACCAACTTGTTCTGCTCCTCAAACAATTCTCACCATTTTTGCTTCGTGTCAGGGAGCAATTTCCTGCAGAAAAACACCACAGCTCTCAGGGGCTGCACTCCAAACCCTAAATGAGTTGGAATGCACTGTTTTCTCTCACCTTTCTTTCACAACTAAGGCTAAATGTATTAATCCTGATTATCCTTTATTCAAAAAATAATCAAATAATTTTGTAATCCATATTGAAATGTTACCTAGAGTAATGGAACGTGGACTCTAAAACATGCTATTTGCTAAATGAACAATAGATGGCGCCATCCAGGACCTGTTACTATGAAGATTTGTCCCTTAAATCCAGATATCGATTTGATGGCAGTTGCTTTTTGTCCATATTATTTGCCCGGAGATTTTACCATTTTTATTTTGGTAATAGTTTATATTCCACCTTCTGCAGTTGCACACTGTCTGTGGTGTCATCAGTTCTGTTGTAGATAAGCTGCAGACAGACCAGCTAAATGCATTTGTTCCAGTAAAAGGTGATTGCCTCATTGTCTGCGACACTTCCAACAATGCAACAGTTTGTACGTTGTTGTGTCATGTCAGGGATTCATACATCTCTTGGGCAAGACCCGCTCTTGGTAAATCAGGTCACAAGCTTGTGTATTTCTGCTCAGAGTATAAGCCTCTATCTGAGAGGAAACCTGCATTACGTGTAGGAGTAAGAAGATGGTCACTGGAAAATAAAGAAGCACTGCAAGGTTTCTTTGAAGCTACAGACTTGGTTTCACTGAGCTATGAAAGGAGACGACATTAATATAATGACTGAGTGTGACTGACTAAATAAACTAGGATTATTTCCTCAATATATTAATTTGTTGATTATTTTTTTTTTTATTCGGCTATTATTTGGTTGGCAAAAGTTTCTTTAAGGTTTTTTTCCGGATTTAACCCGGTTAAACTTAACTTTTGGGGACTTTTGGTTGGAAATTTTTGCCGGAAAAAAGGAAAAAAGTTTTTTTTTTTTTTAATTGCAAATTTTTTTTGGTTTTTTTTTTTGTTTTACAATTTTGGTATACTTACTACTCTAAGTGGGTCACACTGTCAGCTAAATGCATGTTTAAGTTTCTATACTCCACTTAACGAGTAATCAATTACTAAAATAGTTTAGGATTATTTCAATAATCAATTAACCACGATTAATCCAATCAAATTTTTCAGCCCTAAAATAAACATTTGTGTAGATAACACCATCCCCTCAAGATAGTGGTATGCATCCCCAATCCTAAACAAAAGATCATCAGTAAAGGAACTGCTAAAGTAACAGAAAAGACCCTTCACGAAGAGAGACAGGGAATTATTAAGGACTATACAGAAACAAACGCAAGGAGGCATATAGGAAGACCTGCAAAACAAGCTCCAGCAGAACAGCATCAGAAATGTATGGTCATGGATGAAGAAATTCACAGGCTTCAAGCAGTAGGAGGATCAGACAGATGGACGTCTGGACAGAACAAATGGACTGAATGCATTTTTCAGTAGGTTCAGTATCTTTCTCCTTCCCATAGTCAAACAGACATCCCTCCTTCCTTTGACCCAAGGCTTCCACCATCTTTTACCTTAGCCTTAACCCTCCTGCTTCTATGTGGTTGTTCAACACCAAATCAGAATATAGTGCTGCTCCCCCTCCTTCCACCTGTCTTTAGAAGTCAGGTGAAGAGGCAACAGGAGAATCTGAATCACAATAGGTTGCCAGGTCCAGAAAGTCTGTGCAGAGCAGCTATGTTGTTTTTTTAAAGCACCTCTTCGAACAAAACTCTGACCATTCTTATTTACTCTGTACACCTCCGACATCCGATACAAGACAGAGTCCTGTCATCTGTAGAAATACTCAAATGGCTCTGTAGTCGTTGGGTGTGTTAGAGGTGAAGATGAAGCTCAGTAAAGGAAGCTTTTGAAACACTATGTAGTATGGTGTGGAAACAATATTCTGAATGCGAACAAAACAAAGGAGATAATATATAAACAGATTTCAGAAAAAAAACCTGTACAAGTTGAATCCAGTTAACATCATGGGAGAAGAAGTGGAGGTGGGGGAGGAGTATAAATACCCTGGAGTTCACCTGGACAACAAACTCAACTGGTGACGCAACTGTGAAGCTGCCTACAAGAAGGAAGAAAGCAGACTGTACTTCTTAAGGAAGCTTAGGTTCTTCAGTGTTTGCAGAAAGATGCTGCATATCTTTCTTTAACAAGTCAGTTGTGAGGAGTGTGATCTCTTCTGTCATCATGTACTGGGGTAACAATATCAGAATGAATGACTTAAAGAAGTTCAACACGCTTATAGAGAGTGTCCGTTCTGTTTTAGGAACTTCTCTAGGACCTCAGGAGATGATTTTGCAAAGAAGAATTCTGCATAAAAAGACTAACATTATGGACAGTGAGCATCCTCCTCAGCAGATTGGTTAACAACAGACTTTGACTGTCTTCACTTATAGGCTTCTCCAGATTCGGTGCAAGACAGACGCTACAGAGGAATTTATAAATAATAATAATAAATATTGTTATCATATTTTGGCAATTACATTGTGCATTAATTTAAAATGTGCAAGAAGTTTCTTTTTATTCCAAGCGTTCATTTATTTGGATGTGTTAATCTTCTAAAAGTGTCTCTTTAGAGAAAGAGTAAAAATCATTTACGGCAGATTCTGAGATTATTATGAAAATAATGGATAGCTGCAGCCCTAGTCTCAACCAGTGTTTACGTCATGCACCAATTAGCTTTATCAGAATAAGCCTTGGCCGTAACCCTGTAGCTAGTTCATCATTTCCTTCCCATTTTTTGATCAACACTGACTGCTGAAACTGGGAACCCCTCAGAAAAGCAGCAGTTTTGGGAATGCTCTCACCTTATCTAGCCATCATAATTTAGCCCTAATCAAACTTTGAGGCATTGCTACCTAATACTGTATATATCCCAAAACATCACACATGCTATGATGAAGAGATAACCGCTGATATAATTTCACCCATAATCGATCATAATTTCCTGCCTGAATGACATTATTCTTTCAAAACAACAAGGTTTTAGATTTTATGAAAATAAAATACTTAGATTTTCATCAATTTATATTTCTTAGAGTAAACTTTAGGGCAATTAACAAAACTCTTTATTTAGATTTTTTTAAGGTTTTAAAACATTGATGCAACAGATCACCTGTATGCATGCTAAAGCAAAAAAAGGATGATCGGAGTCTTTCAAAACTATAGTCTCCAAACAAATTATATGTATATTTTTTATATATTATATTATATATAAAAAAATACCATTAAAGTTTATGTATAAAGGTAACTGGGCGTCATGTAAAGTGAATTCATTTGTAGCTGAAAAGAAAAAGCAAACAAGAAAAAGCTCTCGATGTTCTTCTTTTTTTTTTGTTTAGTACATCAATCAAATCCTTAAATCTGATTTGAATTTCACTGAATAAATCTGATCAGTTCTATTCAGTCCTACATAAACACACAGTTCAAATCTATAGTTGGGCTATTGTGGTAGCTGAAATGAAAACACACACATCCTCACACTGAGCTGTTCTTCATTTAAAACCGTACTCTCTGTTTTTCTGATTCTATCTTAAAAAAACTGTAATTTCCTTCTCATTGTGCCAGTGTCTGAGAATAAGAAGAGCATCTGTGAGCACATTTTGAGCGAAATGATGGGATACTGTGTATTTACTAGAACAAAAGCAGGGTTTCTTTACATTTCTAAGTAACAATTCCCATTACAGGGAATAATAAAACACCGGGGGGGGGAAAAAATCCCTCTGCTATTTCCTAAACAAGTTCGTCTGATTCTTCCAGCGGCCGAACAGTCATCATGGATGAATCATCTTATTGAGCTGGGCCAAGTGAGAAAAGTGAAGCTAAACTCCATACACACATATCCTCAGCTCTTCTTAGTAAATATGAAAAAAAAAAAAATCTAAAGGGCAGCCAGGCAAAAGCTATTTTAATCCAAATGCAATCCCATCACAGATGATGTTTATTCTTTTCAAGCTGTGGTTATAAATAGAATTGCTTTGGTTAAAATATCTGTCTTTTCAGCAAAAAGTAAAGACCTGTATCTTTAGAGCTCTTTAAAAAGACCAAATATTCCCCAAATTCCCACAGATATTGAGGATAATCCCATTTGTTTTACATAGATGTCCGTTATTCCCTCAGGTCTGCCTGCAGCAGAGTCCTAACGCTGTGTGTGAACCCGCCGTGCCACTGACAGATTGTGGACGGACATGACAACGCAACATGTAAAACAGCTCCCTGACCAGTCATTAGACAACCATAATAACACGGCAGCCCCAACTCTGCCCCCTCCCTTACTATAACTCTGCATGCCGCGGGGCACCGCTGATTTATTTAAGAGATTGTGTTTCAGTCCTACTTAAATTTAGAAAGCCCTCAGCTTCCTTGAGGAAACTGTACATTACTTTTAGTCGTCTGTAACTGACGGGCTTGAAATCATTCACAGATGTGCTCCTATGCTGCCACGCCGGAGGGAGAAGAGGCGGGGCCCCTCCTACACCTTAGGCAGGCCATGAGAAGCTGGAGCTCCATCTCCAAGTACCTTTCATGGTAAGCCACACACACACAAGTTATTTCCCCTCATCCTTAAAGGAAATTTGCATTGACTTCCATTCATTTCCTATTCATTTCTATGGCCTAACCCAGAATCAATACATACCCAACCCTAAACCTAACCTCAATTCACACAATAGCCCTGCACTTACAGGTACTGTAAGTCCCCGCAAAGTAGCATACGCCTGGGAAATTGGCCTTTTACTGTCCTCACAAGGTAACAAATGCTTGCACACACAGACACACAGTAATAGCTGGTAGCTAAACCCAGCCATGCGTATCCAAGCTTTCACCACAATGTGAAACAACACAATCTGACACTACTAACCCCCGCTGTTCCCATAGACTTGCAGGGGTTTTCTTATGTAACCTACAGAGGAGCAGGAAGAATGTTAAGCTGCAGTTTTCATGCAGTTTTTAATCAGATCTTTGCTTATTTCCATCAATGGCTGCTAACCCAGACTCGTTCCATGCTAATGTGCAGCCTGCATTGATAGGAATATGCAGCTACACTGTACTCACAGGGAATTGATATTCATGAAATCATGAAAATAGCTGGGATATCTTGAGCGCATTGATGAGACGAAGCAAAAATCTGGAGACAAACTGGAAAATGTAAGACTTTGAATACTGTCTTCCTGGACCAAACAGATGGAGATGAACCAAAATCACCTTAGAAACCTATGTTTTTTTTTTTTTACTCCTTTTACAAAATACACAAAAACTGAGATCTTTCGCTGTTTTTTACTCTATTAACAAATCAAACAACTTAATGTACTTTGATTCACTTCACTAAAAACCAGATGAAGTTACGGGGATCGTATTCTTGGAAGCATAAAACTGGATTATTTCATTTTTTAATCAAATACGTAACAACTACCATAAAATAGTAAAATTCAAGTGTGTTTTTCATTTAATGCGTTCAATTTCTTAGAAAGAAATCGGACTGCCAATCGTGCCAAATAAACCCAGAAGTCAGCATTAGGCCAGGAAAAGCTGCCTAATGTATCTTTGCACCCACTGTGGTAATAAGGCAGATCTTACCTGCTCATAGTTCAACCGCTGAACCTCAGATATCTCCTTAGGCTTGGTTTCCAGGATGTAGTCGCCTGCAGAGAAAAAGTCAATGTTGATTCAACCAATTATCAAAAAGCAACTGATGTAGCAGCAGAATCTGTCTGTCGCTGTGGACAGGTCTCCTGCATATCATACACTGGACAGCTGTTTTCCCCGGATATTATGAAGCTAGATGCACCCCTATTCACTATTAAGCTCTATCCTCTAAGCTCTGTCATGTTGGCTTTTAAATTAGTTTAAGTTTCTTAAATGTATGGTCTCTGGGATATTGGCAGGCTGCATTTTCATATTCTATATTGCTCATTTCCTGAAGATAACTCTCATTATCATTGTGCAGGTATGGTTTTAGCATTCTTTTACAATAAGTCAATATAAGTGCTGCACAAACATCCATGCAAACACATCCCTATTGTTGCTGTTAATGTTTTATTGAAGCCAACTCCCAAACATCTAGAGTGAGAATGCTTCATAATATATAACAGAAAACAGAAACCTATTAAAGAGCTGGCAAATCTTGCTGCAGTGAACTTGTGCTTTTCCAGAGAATTACTCAGACGAATACCATCAAACTCTTGTCATCAAACCGGCATAAACCAAAAAAACGCTTATGCATGGAAAGAATGGTTCTCCTTTGATTCGCACTCAGGGGCCAAAAAAGAAGAAAAGTTGTTGCATCACTGAAGCTACTGAACTCTAACCTTCTTAAGGTCACGGGGACTTCAATTTCACAACATGCTTCATTTGACCCACAGACTCCTCTTACATCAAACCGTCAACTAATATAAAGATTTTACTGGGGGGCCATAATCACCCTCACTCCTTAGTCCCTGTGATTATAGAGGAGGGGCCATTCTGAGGTTAAAAGTAATCCAGAAGCTTCTGAAAGCTTCCCAGCACTTCTGTACAGATTAAATAAATGCAAGTACAAGATGTACTTTTCTGCCCAATTACAAAAACAAATGAACACATTTGGGGGAGAGGAGCAAACCTGCAGATAGCTCTCCGCAGTCACGGCAGCTTTCTCCAGGGAGATTCATAGAGATGAGTCATGTTAGCTTAAGGACATAAACAAGTCAGTGAAAAACCTGTCGCTAAATTATAGAAGAATCTTTATTTGTTAAAGTATATTGTAGGTTGTGTACATCACTGGCAGAGCAGGAAGAAACAGAAATGCAGCTCTTTAGAGTTTTAAGTAGTTTTGGAGTCATAAACTAATAACCAGGGAGGAGAAAAGGCTCCCATTTCTCTTGCAACAGAAAAAAATATATATATGTTCATGAGACCTGATAAACTCTGGACTATTGACTTGTCCACACTTTCAAATTCCCTTAAGACAAAAAAAAAAAAGTTATTCTTTAGAATTTGAAAGATAAATGTTGGATACAGGAAGCTGCTGACAGACTTCAAAAGACGGCATGAAAAACAAGAATGCACACAGGATGCTAAAGCTCACTGGCAGAAATATCATCAGACAGTATTATTAGTATGGGATCATGCAAACTTACAGTTGTGCCAAAAAAGTACAGGGCAATAAATGTGTTCATTCTTTTAATTTATCTTATTTTTCTCCAGAGGGGAAACAGAGAAGACCCATTACTATGTCTTTGATGAAGGTAAATGGCATTAAAGTGGAGATGCATCAAGCATGTTCCTGAGCCAATAAAGGTTTTAGATTAGGGTTTACGTTACCATTTACGTTATCTTATTTTAAGATTGAAATAACATTAAAGGAAAGAAAGAGCTGCAAGTTCCTAGGTAAGGGCTGCAAGTTCTTATGAATCAATGTATATACCGTTCTCTGATAATGATCAAAGCCAAAATAAAGATTAAAACCAAAAAAAGTGGAAGATCTTAATTTCAATAAACTTAAAAAAGGGACAGAGGACTAATTTAATTGTCATACTGATTACAGTTGTTTGGATCAGAACTGATGGGAGGAAAATTGGCTGACACTTTGGTGCATCTCTACATAAATGATTCAAGGGAGATATTTTCTCCTTCGGAGCAATGATGCAGATTTAATTCGATCTCTGGTAATAGCTGCAAACACTTACCAAGATACTCCATCAGTTGCTCAGCAGTTATAATTTCCATCATGGGAGGTATTTTGACCTGAAAGAGAAAGAATGCACACCATTTCCTTCCTATTTTCTTAATTAAATGTTAAAAAAAATACCTAAAAGGTAGATTTTGCTGGGCAAGACTATGTATTGGCGTTTGATAAAATGTAATCTGGTCCTGAAGACCTGTTGAGGAGCAAATCTGAGCATTTTACCTTCCATGCAAGTAGAAGAACATTCATGATGGCCAGTAATGGACAGGGGCCATTCTCGTTTTGAGTGATGATCGGTGTGTTCTCCTCCCTCCATTTGATCCACTTTATGTGGTATATAGACTGTCCGGCGGTGCGGTCTTTAGCGAAGGAGGTCTTTGTCCCATCGGAGGCGTAGTCGCTCTGCAAGGCCAAGGCCAGTCCCTTGTCCTCCAGCCCCTCGGAGCTGGGACAGGAGTTTAGATTGGAGAAAGACTCCAGTGAATCTATGCTCCTGGACTCTCCGCCGAGGCTGGGGTCTGGGTCACTCCCACTCGGCGGTCCTTCCGACAAGGTGTGATCGCCGGACTGTCCAGATTTAACGTCCGGACACAGAGCAGTTGGTTTGGCAAGTTCTGTCTGCTCACTCTCTCCACAGACTCCATCAGCCTTTACATGTGTGCTCTCTTTAGCTGAAGGTGAGGAAGGGCAGTCATCTTTGTTGTTTACTAACTTTGAGGCACCTCCCTGGCAGTCTGCTGCCGTCTGCTCCAAGTCATGCCCCATCCCGTTACTGATATGATCCTCGCTCCGCAGCAACGGTTGGCTCGCATCGCCTCTCTCCATCCGATCCTCTTGGTCAGATCTTACAGGTTCAGACTTCTCTGAGCTCTGAACAACGCCGCTCGGTAAACTAGCATTTGTAGCGCTGATCCCACAACCAACGGTATCCAAAGTGCTGAGGGGAGCTTCACTATTCTTCAATTTATCGAGGGATCCTTTCACTTCGCCCCCAGCCGTAACGTCGGCCATTTCGGCTGCAATCGTGGCACATATAGACGTCACCTCAGCGTCTCGATGCAGGTTTGCATTTTGCTCCATTTCGGTTAAAAGCCTGTCGACAGATTTTTTTTTAGCTAAACTGCAACGATAGCTTCAGCCTCGACGACGCCATGACAACTCTGCAAGTGACGTCACCAGAGAACAAAACCGACGGCTGAATGATGCGTTCGCGTTCGCTCGTATTCTGCACATCGGTTAGTTTAGTTGCCGTTTCTTCTTCTTCTTCTTCTAGTTGGGTTTATTTGCGGTTGGCAACAACCATTTAGTAGCATTACCGCTACTTACTGGTATGGAGTGTGGTTCGTGATGGACTATCTACTTAATAAACATATATATAATTTCTAAGGAAAAAAACGAAAGAAAAACCTGCATACTTATACATAACTTTGTATTCTACTCGTCTATATCATACACACATTCACGTCTCTATAATCAAATTCTATGAAATAATTTCTTTTAAAATCAAATAATTATTTGTATATGTTTACTCCCCAAATTCCTCCTGAAAATATCTACTAAATTAATCTATTCCTTAATACATTCAAACTCTCTCCTCATATATCTTCTCTCGCTTTCATATTTATGACATTCCAGTATAACATGTTCTATTGTTTCATATTTTCCACAGTAATCACATTTGCCAGTAGTGTGCTTTTGAATTTTGAAAGTGTTTAATTAAGTCATGTATGGCCACATCTTAACCTCGTTATTACTCTCTCCTCTATTTGGTCTTCCATTTCTTCTTTTTCCTACTATCTTCTGATTTTTATAAAAACACATTCTTTTTTTTTTTTATCCCACCTTTTTGCCATTTTTTCTTTAACAATACTCTTTTCCTCCGATTTACTTTTTTTAACTGTAAAACTAATAGGATTTTGAATTGCCCTCTTTGCCATTTTATCTGTCTTCTTGTTTCCTTCTACTCCAATATGTGCTGGAACCCACACAAATACAACAATCAAACCCATATTTTTTATTCTGATTAATGTATGAAATACCATCTGACTGATTATATTTTAAACTAAATAATGAAGAGCTTAAATCTGAACAAATTACTGTTTTTAATGGTTTTATGTCTTCTACCCATTGTAAATCTAATAATATTGCCAACATTTCCTCTTTGTATACTGATAATCCATTTGAAATTCGTTTTCCTATTTTTATATTGAATTCTGGTATTACAAAAGCTATTCCTTTTTTCCTTCTTATTTTTGATGCATCTGTATAAATTGAATATATTCATAATAATTGTCTCAATGTAACTGTACTAAATTGATATCTACTTTGTACGATTTATATGGTTTCTTTTCCATTAGTGACATATCTACTATTGCTTCTGGTAGAATCCATGGTGGTATAACTGATATTGGTGC